GTGACACTGGAAATAAAAAAAAATGATTTGATTTTCACTTTATTAAAGGTTGATGGAGGAAAATAATGAAACGCTGTGCAGCCACTTTTTCCTGTTTGTAGCTTCCTTGTTCATTTAGGACATTTATCTTGATTACTAAGCTATACTGTTTGCTACTGGTCATAATTAACATTATTTTCAGCAGCAACAACCAATGACTGCTACAAATAACAACAAATTTGATTTGCTTTATAAATTATTAAATTGAATGTAACTTTGTATCATACACATTTCATTACGGTCCGCCATATGGACTTACACCCTTAGAGTATATCAACACTAAGGGGCATATTCACTAAGCTGCCGTTGGCATCCGAGTGAACGACAGACCTGAAGCGAAGTGAGCCGAGCGCTGTTCGGCTATTCACTTCAGGCTGCTACAGCTGCTACTGCTACTGCTACAGCCGTACATCGGGTGGCTTCGGGTCGGCCGAACATGCTCAGCATGTTCGGCGACCCGAAGTGCAGAAGGAGTTCGACTCAGCCGATCCAACATCTGGATCGGCTAAGCTGAACCTCCAGCAGGCTACTGGCTGCTGTTCGGTCTATTCTTATAGATGCCGAACAGCAGTGAGTAAATAGCCGAATGCTGCTGAGCGGCATTTGGCTCGGCTGTTCTGCTCAGTCCCTCCGTGGGACAGAACAGAAAAATAGTTTAAAAAGTAAAAAAAAAACGATTGTGTGGAGCTAGCAGTGACAGCTAGCTCAGCCCAACTGTTTTCTATTGGCCGGGCGGTTCTGCTGCCGTCAAAAAAAATCCCCATAGGAAAGCATAGCTAGATTCCTATTGGATATTTCATTTTGCAATAGCCAATAACAAACTAGCTATTGCACCCGCCCTCTGCTGCTGTCAATCACCAGACGGGGACCTGATGGAGAACTGCAGGTCCCTCTCTGCTGATTGACAGCAGCAGTGGGCGGGTGCAATAGCTAGTTTGCTATTGCAAATTGAAATAGGAATCTAGCTATGCTTTACTATGGGGATTTCAGCCGTTGGCTGCCGTCAGAAGAAAAAAACCGAGCAGGGAAAGGTTTACTCTGCTCGATCGAGCAGAGTGAACCTTTCTGTGAGAAAGTGTTTCTCTCCCTGGCGGCCAGGAGCCTATTAAACTCCAAGAGCGTCCGGCGGAGGAATGACAGATGTCGTTTCTGGTTACCTGGTAACCAGGAACTCATCTGTTATTACGCACTGAGAACACGGAGAGGCCGCTCTCACTGCGTTATCACAGCGTCCCTGGTTAGCTGGTAACCAGGGACGCTGATCTCTCTGCAAGTGGCCGGAGCTAGCCATGAGATGACGGCTGGCTCCGCCCAGCTGTCAGAAGCAGGCTGTCGGCCAGCTTCGGCTTTCAGCGCGGCTCAGTCGAGCCGAGGCATATGCCTTTGGCTCGAATGAGCTGCTTGGCCAACTTCAGGAGCTGTACGAGCTATTGTTAATAGCCTGGGGCCGGAGCTAGCCGAAGGATCGGCTAGATCCTTCTGCTGCTTCGTGAATAGACCCCTAAGAGGCTGACATAAACAGTTTGCAGAGCTCTTTGCTATGGGAATGAGATTCACTGCACTTTATGACCACTAGATGGAGCCGAGAAGCACAGGAATTTCATATACTTCTTGGCTCCAGCTAGTGGCCATACCGCACTGCCACTCTCATCCCCACACTGGAGAGCTGTGCAAACAGTTTATAAATCAGCCCCAGGGGGCCTATTCACACCATGTCCGGATCAGATGCAGTACATTACATTTTTCTTCTGCACCAAAAATGCATCCCAATGCATTTGTATGTGATTTTTGGGTTCTGTTCACACCAGTTCATTCCATCCCAGTGCAGAAAAAAAATGCTGAATGTCACATTATTCCTGCACTGGAACCCACCCGAACGCGTCACAAATACACTGCACCGGAACGCTACAGAAGCTCGCAAACATGGATGCAACAAATGAATATCATTCATTTGGAAAATGGCATTACCCCCCCCCACCCCCCCAAAAAAAAACCGTACTGGAACACGTCACAAATGCACCGTACCACGTTTGCAGAAACGCGTGCAGATCTGGTCCAGACATGGTGTGACAGGGCCCTTAATGCCTGTGAGCAATAATGCTATACAAGTTCAATGCACAGACTGCAGCTACAATATTTTGTAAAATCTGTGCCATCAGTATAATTGCATGCTGTTGAGTCATTCGGGTAAACCCAGACCCAATTTGGGTGCTGTATGTATTCAGAAACAAGTCAGTATGTACCCATTCCTATCGCTCCAATAGATTGCGCTGTTACTTTTGTAGAACACATTTTTCTTTACCAAAATTTGGTAATGTTAATGTAATAATAACATTAGAACACAGATTGGGTACAAAGTTATGTTAAATGACTTGAGATCAATACATGCAAAAGTAGTATGGGCTCAAAGCTAGATGTATAAACCAGTTAGTAAAATACAATACAATTGTTGCCCTATAGATTAATATGTGGTTTGTAGCTTAGATGGGAAGAAGGAGAATATAGATGCCAACCATAAAGGACCCCTGTATCCAAGATGAGTTTGTCGCAGGACACCCAAGATATATTTTAGGCCAGTATAGAATATGAGATAATTGAATCTCTAAATATAAAACAAGGACGGTGGGAAGAGAGTCTGTGGATAGGTAGAAAACAAACCCATCCTAGCTAGGCCTTGATGGGTACAGAAAAAATATTAGGAAAGAATACGTAAGGGGTAGGAAGAGGAAAGGGGGAAGTCCTAAGGATGGGGGCTAAGGGTACTAGGATTAAAGTTGAAGAAAGTGGGTAGTTTGCGGTAATAGCAGAGAATAGTGGAGTCATGGCTGTCATATCAAAAGAAATTTGTCTTGGGTATTGTTGCGGTAGGACACATTTTTCATCAGCTCAAAGTGATGACTTTTCCCTGATAGCAGACACCGCATGAAGAACATATTTGCAAAAGACAAACTTAAGCATCTTGGCATCTGAACGGATTCTAACATGTTATCTGTAAAAGATGGATGGATGGATGTATTTAATAACGAGCATGTGTGTCATTCAGAGGAAAAACATACAAAGGTCAGGAATATCCATCTTTGGAAGAGGGTAAGTGGTGTCAACTATTCCAACTGGTGGATGAGGGGTTCAGTCACAGGTATGGGTTTGACCTGCCTTGCTGTATCAACAAATTACACAGTTTTGGTTATCAGCTCTTAAAAATTGAATTCTGTTGGTGAATTTCAGTGTGCACTTCATGGAAAGAGATAAAGAAGCAATTTGTAAAGTGTGCTTTGGTCCAGCCGCAGATTGTTATATATGAAGCACCTGTGCTGCTGTCTAGGATTGGATGTCCTACAAAGATCAGCTCCAAGGTACACTGTACAATATTCAGATAGGATTGGTGCAGCAATGCATTCACATGAGATTTAGGACATTTAGCTTTTCCAGGATTCCACTGGAGGTGTGATTGGAATGACATCACCTGCGCCTAGGTGAGTGGAACAAGTTTGTGACATACAAACTGTCTCAGGTTATGAAGTGTACATGCAGATGAAATACACAAATACTCCATCACAGTCAATGAGACACATACGTATAATGACCAAGTACTGATGGCGGCGGGGGGTGTGTGTTGGGCAGACTTGGTGAGTAGTGATAAGGACAAGTTAAGCAAGTAGTGAGGGCTGCAGACTAGGCGAGTAGCAATTGGAGAAGATTAGGCAAGTAATGATGGGGGTAGACTAGAGAAGTAGTGATGGGGGACAGACTAGGGAAGTAGTGATGGGGGACAGACTAGGGAAGTAATGATGGAGTAGAGTAGGCAATCTATGATGGGGGTAGACTAGGGAAGTAGTGATGGGGACAGACTAGGCAAGTAAAGATGGGAGTAGACTAGGCAAGTAAAGATGGGAGTAGACTAGGGAAGTAGTGATGGGGGGTAGACTAGGGAAGTTGTAGAGTCTTCAAAGCAGGGACTGACTCTTTGGAGCCCCTCCCCCACTTTACAGCTTCGTTCTCAATCCAGTACTTAATTTGGTTTAATTGGCTAAGCAAAGTGCCCAAGAAGACATTCTGCATAGCAAGTAAAGCCGAATTACTGCTTAATTTACTAAAAAAAACCAACATATTGCTTAGAGTTTTCTTAAATAAAGAATGTAGCTTTTACTGCAATACTCAGCTCTTTTTCAGTGCTGCGCCCCCCCCTCCCCTTAGACACTCCACTCCATCCTGCAGGTGGGTCCCTCTTCCGGCACAAGTGATGGCTGGGACTCTCCGGGAGATGGGGCTTTAAAAACATACAACCACGCATTTAGCAAAAAACTGCAGGTCCAATGTTTGCTCCATTGGGGCCTTATGAGGACATGCTCCATCTCTTCCACAATAAAGCAGACTTGCCTACCTGTTTGCAACCTTTAGAATGTACATAGGGCTGCGCACGTGTTGTAGTTACATAATTCCGGCCCAGCCAATCAAGATGGCCAAAGATCCCAGAGCTGCCCCTAGAATGAGGCTGCCTGAGGTAGTTGCCTCAGGCGGCAGCGTCCCCGGTTTCTAAGAGATCTTAGCAAGTTGTGACGATCTGTGCGGTGCGGCTTCCCGCCCAGCTCACTGATGTCACCTGTTCCCAGAAGCTAAGCGGGACCCTCTGGCTTGCGTCCTGCTGAGCTCCTGGGAACCAGTAACATAAGACACCAGCAAGGGGACATGAATTCTGCTTTAATGTGTGACATCATGACATCAACATGTTTTTACAGATGTAAATTGACCCAAAAGAAGCTGATATAAGCAATGAAGACCAGACATGTGGCAGCCCTACCCTATGCTTTATTTACTCCTCCTGAAATAGCTAGTTTGCTGGCTGTCATGACAGGTAACTAGTACGGTCAGAAATAAGTCTCTAATAACAGCATGCACAATTTCCTTTCCCTGAAAACCCTATGTGTGACTGTGAAGACAGGTTCACTTTAAGACAGCTGTGGGCGCGCCGTGCCCTCAGTCAATATGTCCGCCCTCAGCCTCGCCCTCTGCGATGCGGCTAGGACTCCATTCCCCATCAGGCACCGCGGCCGGCTGTCTAGTAGACGGGGGCCGGTTGGGGTCAGTGGCAGTGTGTTGGTGCAGGAGGCAGCTCTCAGTTTGCTCTAGGTCGCAGGGTTCCGGGCAGATCTCATCACAATGGCCATGGACAATTCGGGGAAGGAACGGGAGGCCGTGCAGCTGATGGCGGATGCTGAGAAGAGGGTGAAGTCATCGCATTCCTTCCTGCGGGGTCTCTTCGGGTGAGGGGATGCATGTGTGGCCTGTCTGGGATGGATCCTTCTTATGTCATTCTCCTTTCACTGCAATAGGCGGCTCATCGTCCCCAGAGCTCAGCGCCGGGAGCTGCCCAGGGTGCTGAAATGCATCACCCTCCAGATATATATTGGGAGCCATGACTGCAGATTTTCATGCCATAGAGCTGACATGCAGGCCTGTATCATCATCATCATCATCATAAAATCCTCCCAACCTCGTCCACTCTGAGGCATTCAAAAATCAGAGAGATCCCTTATTTCTGATTAAAAATGACAAATTACCCCAGCGGTGAGTCACATGATTCTTGCCAAGGCATTGGTGCGTAGGGGCTCATGTATAAAGCAGCAGTATGGCAATGCCAGGCTGTAAAAACACTCAGACGTCATTCAGACAAGCAGCCACTGGTGAGAATCTGGGATATTTTCTGTCAGAAAAAGTACCACTATGCGGACCAAATTGGCACCCTGTGCAAATCCATGGCCAGTGTCACCACTCTTTGCATGCAACCAATCACCTGATCTGTTACATGCAATTAGGAGCTCCAAGCAGCCATAGACGCAGACAGTTTGTGTCCAGGGCTGGCGGATCTGGATGCAGCTAATCATCCAGTTTGCAGGTGGCCATAGCTCAGAGTGCTGCTGTGTCCAGAGGCAGGGCTTAGCTGCATCTGAACACTGCTGTCTAGCCGCCTATATTCATCCGTCTGAATGAGGCCCTATAAAGCACAACGCTGTGCTTTAAAATGTGTTCAGCACTTTACACATTAATTTTTAAAGAAGAACTCCGGGCAGAAATGTTATTAACCCTTGCAGAGGGGCTACCCAACCCCCACCCCCAGAGTTAACTGCTTGTTTTTGGCTAGGGTAAAAAAAAAGTTATACTCTCTTGTTCCTCAGAGCAGGCAGCGCTCCCTCTAGCCTGTATCCCCCTCCACTGCAGTGATGGTTTGTCCCTCAGCGTCCTCATGTCCTGTACACTATATTGAACATGATGACTTATGGACCTTAGACAGCTGCAGTGGAGGGGTAGAGGCATTCTAGGGATCAGTCTGGGATGCTCTACACTGCCTCCACATTTTATGAATGGCATGAAGTGTGACGTATCCAAGCTAAAAACAGACTCCATAGTCATTGATGAAGAAGCTTAGAAGAGTGAGGTTTAAGGGAGATCTGCTTTCAGTGTGATCCTTTCCATCTGTACACATCACATGGCTGTCACCGCTGTTTGAAACAGAAAGGGAAATATTTAGGTTCTTTGTTTTATAATGTAGACCGCATAAGTCCTCCTTTAGCCATCCCTTCTCTATTTTTATTATTTAAAGAAGGACGGACTTTAAAAAACTTACCCTTGGAGTGGAGCTACCCCCTGGGTGCTGGAATAAATACAATATACTCACCTGATCCTCAGTCCTGCCGGTTCCCTCCAGGCTACTAAACCGGTCCCTGCAGCAGCTTCTCCCGTGGGCTTTGTTGGTCTAAGGACGGCTGACATCATCACATCTATTACAGGTCCATTGACTTGCATTAGATGTTAGGACACCAAGGGACATTCCACAGCCAGAGTAGAGGGAGTGTGCACTGACCAAGGATCAGGTGAATATATCTGTTTTTATTTGGGCCCCTAGAAAAAATGAGCACTTAACCCTTGCAGTGAGGGGGGGAAGGGTCAGTTTTTTAAAATTTCCTCAGTTCTCCTGATTAGTAATCTAATTAGTAACTGTGGAACAATAGTGTCATGTTGATTGATCAGCCCCTGCTTTCCTAAAGTTGGCTCAGTGGAGTGAAGTAAATCCTTTTCCTACAATATCTCCTGTTTAAGCTCTGATGACATTATTTAAGAGAAAACAAGGACATTTTAAAATAAATGCCCTCAGGTCTTTTGTAAATAACCGTATTGTACTTTGTGCCAGAAACATAACTTTGTTGTGATAATCAGTAGTAGGTAAAAAATAACATTTGTACTTTTGTATGTATAATAATACTAATTGTTTTAAAGCTGGTTAAGCTGATCATACACGGTTGGAATTTTGGCTGGCCACATTTACAAAGAATGAATGAAATTATAACTGCGTGGCCCTGCTGGCTCATCAAAACTCCATTACTCAATCGAAGGAGCCAGGATGAAAATTGTCAGCCAATCATCTGCATCATTCACAGTTCGGGTATTCTGTAATATAAATATATATTGGAATGAAAAACCACAAGAACATCCATGCAAACACAGGAAGAACATGTAAGCAGACATTATCCTTGGTATCAGTATAACTTGGGGAGGGGGGCTTACTCGGTAAGAGAACATTTAAAGGGACTCTGTCGCCTCACCAAACATCAGGTAAAAGCAGTTCCCTGCAAACAAAGACGATGGATACTCACCACTTCAGCACTCGTCACTTCTTTCTGATACAAAGCTTTAGCCTCTGGTCTGAATCTTTGACATTTGACAGTTTCAGGAGTGTCGGATGCCTGTGTACCACACTGCATGCTGTGGTTTCTTCCTCCGATCCCTACATCCTTCCAGTAGTAACATAGAGGTCAGGGGATTCATCCATAGCACAAGGTGGGGACACAGTCTTCTGACTGGCTCGCAGCTTTGATCTGCAACAGAATGAAGATTTCAGGAGCGGGCAGCGGGACGTTTTAACTTGTTCTTTGGCAGATAATTTTTTTTTTTAAAGTGACAGTCACTTTAAAGTGACAATAAACCCTTAGATTTTTTTTAACATAAAACAATACTGTAATGTGTGCCTTACTGTAATCCATGGTTGTTTCCCTTCTCTTTGCTGCTCTTCCTTTTAAATCTGTATCTGTTCTCATGCTGAGCAGAACTTCTGTTTTGCAGCAGACTGCCTTGTCTCTGAAATGGATACACGGTGTCTGTGTGTAGGTTTGCAACCTGAGCCAGCACTACAGGAAGAGGCACTCAGCTGCAAAGGGAAGTTCTCCCCCAGCATGAGAAGAGATACAGATTTAAAAGGAAGAGCAGCAAAGAGAAGGGAAACTACCATGGATTACAGTAAGGCACACATTACAGTATTGGTTTATGTTAAACAATCTGAGGGTTTAATGTCACTTTAAAACCTCACAGCCGTACAATGTCCACGGTCACGCAGAAGCCCGCGCCCAGGAGGGACCAGTGCTGCATATAGCTGTGTGCTGTCGCCTGCACATCCTTATGACAGGACATGGCTACACGCTGACTCGACCTTGCACATGGATGCAGTCTGTACAGATATAGGAAGCTTTGATTTGACCTTTACAAATATTATTTTACGAGTAGACCCCTGGTAGATGTAAACATTTAGGCCACATTAGTCTGGGATGTAGTCTAAGATGAGTGGGATTCCCTAGCAGTTTTGTAAGGGGTAGGGGTTACGGTGGGGTTTTGGCAGCAGTGTCCACTTTACCCTAGGTGCACTTGTCTTGAGAAGGGTTATTGGCTTACAGGGTATTCAATTATTTTATTAGGGGTATAATTGATTCTAGGGGAGCAAGAAGTAAAATCTTAGGCCTGTGTCTGATGGACCCAGCAGAGATGTCACAGCATTTGCTGACTTCTAGGGCAAACTGTCCTTGTTTCAATATAAATGCAAATTAAAAAGGGCACATTAATAAGGCAGCAGGTTTTTTTTTTATGTTGTAGTCGGCAATAAATTATGAATGAGGAATGTGTAGAGAAGAATGGTGTATGTGCCAACTCCATTTTGCTGTGGCTTGAATATATTTACCAAGGCTATATTAATTTATAACGCTGAACTAGCTATATCGCTAACAAGAGTTAATACACACACATGAACTTCGGTTTGTTGAGCAATGATTAATTCACAGTAAAATCTGATATACTATTATAACCTACAAGTTCACATTCATTCCTCCAATATATACACACTGATATTTGTATTTCACCTTACTGAATGAACATAGCCATTTTGTTCTGAAAGCTTATTTTGGAAATAACCAATGGAGAAATCAGCGCTCATACACAAGAGATGTCTGTGGATGTGTCTGGGGACACACGGCTCATTTCATTCTAGCAGAACCTTGCTTGATATGAAAAGGTGTTGACATGATGAAAAGTCAGTGTAAAAGCTGACCTGACGGGTGCCTTCAGATGCCTAGTTTTGTGTCCCTGAGTGGCCTCTGGAGCCCTAAACCAAGGATGTCCAAAAGAAAA